CAGATCTGTGTGCTACAAACTAAAAGCCTCACCAACAGTATGTGCAAACACGTGCAATGCTGCAAGCAGCCAGGCAAATCCAGACACCCAACGCCCCAGGCCCCCAAGGCCCTCAGGCCACACCCAGGTCTGGTATCCACCAAGCATAGCCTCACATGTGCTGCTCTTCATCGGCGTCGTAGCCTTCCAGATTCAGGACGTGGATGCCATCTTCCGGCTGACGCGTCCGCTGCCTTGCTCTTTCCAAGGGCCAGGACAGATTCTGATTCAGCTCTCAGGAGTGTTTGGGATTGTGTGGGTGCCTGTTTGCGATGTTTGCATTGCAAAGACACAGAACGGTTTTGGGAATCCAGGGTTCTCGTTTCCTTACTCGCGACGCCGCGTGCTGCAGGAGAGGGCCGGCCACAAGTCGTCGCTGTGCCACCGCAGCTCCTTGGTTTGGCACGGCAGCGTCTTTGGAGTTTTGAATGTCTGCATCGCAAGGGAATGCAAAGTGAGTGTTGCCACAGGTGCAAAATGCAGAACGGAGTAGCAGGTGCATGTGAGCGTTGACGCCCAGGTTCTTCACGCCTTACAATGCTCAGTGTACTGTGCATCTTTACGTGGCCTGGCTCGCACGACCAGGCCGTAGTGAGTGACATGGTCTCTTAGTTTTGCGGAAATTGCTGTTCAAAGCTGCATGCCTGACAGATGATCTGTTGGAAGAAGCCATGCTTGTTTGACGCCGCATCCTGCACAGTCAATGAGCGGAAGCATGTGGTACCTACGGCGTTCCGCGAGAAGTCTAAAGGCTTTAAAGCACCTGATCCGAGGAAGCTTTTTGGGGGCTGCTGCTCCCCGTGACCGTACACGGCCGCGTCTCGGATATCTGGCGTGCCTACCTGACCCAGAAGTTGCTGTGGGATGTGCCTGGGCAGAACATATTCCGGGGGATGGGGTTCATGCCTGCTTCGCGTGGTTCTTCGAGGAGTAGGGTTAATATTGTTAGGTGCGAGGGTCCGGAGTTTCAGTCTTCTCTGTGTTTGGCCTTCTCTCCAAGCTCGCATTTGAGCCGCTTCAGCATGCCCTCGCACAGTCTTCGGTATGTCGGTCTTCGTTCGTCGCTGATGCACCTCCGGTATGAACGATGCAGGGCTCCTCAGCACTGTTTGATCAAACCTCAAAGCTCCATGCAGTGTGATTTTTGCTGCTGGAAGTCGGTTGATGCGGCTTATGACCCTGATTTGAACTGCTCAAGCGGCAAAACTGCAAGAACACGGGACCCAAGCCAGCCAGATTTGAAACGATGCGAAGCAGCAACCCCGTGTCAGAACAGAACCTGACCTTACCCAGCTTTGAGAGTGGAAGGTGACGCAACAGCCCATTTCTACAACTCGGAACGACCAAGTCCCGAAGGAATCTCTACCTCTACCCTGTAATCTTGGTCTGACGTGAGGTCGGCCAGGTCGTGACGTTCATGCCGTCTCATGTTGTACATGACCGTGTCGCCCACGACTACCTGAAGGATGCCGTGCCGAAACACAGGGACATTTTGAAAGCTTTCGGGAGGAATCCGAGCCAATCTGCGCAGGGGAGTCCGGAGTCGGAGCAACGGTGGAAGACTGCCGAACTCTTTGTGACAGGGTCCCTGGTAGGGCATAGATTGTGTATTTTTCTGTTGTATATCCTGGCCATGTCACATGTCTTAGAGTTTTTGATAGAGAGGCTTGTTGGATAGATCGATGCCCGGCTTCCTGTCGCAGCATTAGCAACAGCAGCAACAAGCAGCAGATCCGAGTTCCCCGACTCAGGACTTCCAAAGTGAGGGTGACCTTCAGACAGGGGCTCAGCTGGGTTGCGTTGCGGGCGAGTTAGATCCAAAATGATCGCTTGTGCATGTGCCGTTAGGAGCAGTTGTTTCACGCAGAGCCTGTTGCGGAGGGTTTTTGCAGGAAGGCCTTCTGGTTCTTGGAGTTCTGATGGTTGGGGCAGTGCTGAAAAAAGGAAGCTGCAGTTGCTACAGGCACTGCCTTTGGTGATAGGTTTGGTACGACATTTCTACCCGAAAGCCTAGATCCTTGGGTTTTTGCACGATTCCCGAAACTTTCCGAAACTCGACAGGCATCGTTCTATGCTACCCTTCCAAAAAGCAGTTCAAATGCCATACAAACACCTTAACCCGAAAGGTCCTCTGGGCGCGGGAAAAAAGATCCTTTCAGACCCCCGAGGTTGAAGAGCACGGCTCTTGTTTCCTTCCTCGCGAGGTGGTCGAGCGCCTTGGCTGCGGCCCCTCTTGGTGTGTCCTCCCGAGCAAGTCCTTACGGGTTACCATCAGTCTCTGTAATGGTTTCAGAGTATAACTATAACGGTGATACAAGGGGTTCCCTGTTGCAGCTGCTTCATGGCTGCCTTCGTGGAACTTCGGCATGGAGGAGCCCCGCTTCCTTCGGATCTAGGTCTCTGGCAATCCTGTAAGGCCACCGCGGTGCTGATCTTCCCCCGAGCCATCGTATGGACCTCTCTCTGGAGAGCCAAGCTATCTTGAGGGTTTCTCCCCCTGTTAAAATCCTGCAGCAATATGCCTTGCGAGAGCTGAGAACTGGAAACGCAGCAAAAGTCTGGCCTATCGCTTCGCCAAGAGACGAAAGATAAGACGGAAAAGACACATGGGAAGAAGCAGGCGATGCTCCCACACTCGTGGAGCGAATTGAGCAGCTCTGGGCCGCGCTCTACATGCGTCTCCTGACAAGCAAAGGATGTGTCCACTTGGCCCTGGTACTGTGGATATCGTTCGCATCCGTCCCCGTGTCTGGTTATTCTGAGCTTGCACGCGATCAGATTTGATTTCTAGTGTCGTCATTGCTTAATTTTTCCACGGTCTTCCATTGATGATTTCAGCTCACCACCGGGAGAACATTCTACAACAGAATTCTCCTTTGCAAGGGTCCCAAGCCTTAAGCTTTTTGTTGGTTGACATCAAGCCCCGTGCATTCTTGCGGCTCGAGCCTTAGATCTCGACGGCGAGACCATGGCCCCGTCGATGACGCAAAACGAGCCCAGACGTGAAAGCCGCCGAGGGGCTTGCTCTCGGTATCACGCATCAAGAGGAGGGCTCTCTTACAAACAAGAAGATGGAAATACAAAGTCCTAAGCGGTCGTACTTTCGAGACATCGACACAAAATTTGAGCAGAGCCGAGGCGGCTTTGTGGAGCTGGGAGACGTCAGGCACCTCCTGCAAAGACCAGCTGCCGAGTAGGTTTTCCAAGGATTCTTACAATATCACTGGTGCGACTGGTATGCTATGGTCAGGGATGTGCACAGGATCTTGAATGCCAAGTCTCCTCGCTGCAAAGCTGGTGAGGGGCGAATGAAACATGCTAGGGGCGTCTGAAACACTCTTGCAAATGTGGGAGCTTAAATTCAAACCTCCGGCCCTACGCCTCCCTCCTATGATGGCGAGGGTGCTAATGCCTTCTGGCGCCACGTGTCTCTGGGAACGGCGGAACGCTATGTTAACGAATTGAGTTGTTTTCGTGCGATGCAGCACATACGATCACGACTTTTGCAACTACTCGTTGCACGCCTTCATGGAGTTACCTTAGCCATCCTGCTCTGTGGGTTCGTCCCTGCCAAAGCTAGGCACTTTCCAACTTGCAAGTTGCAGTGGACCCCTGGCACCCTTGGCCCTTAGCATCATCAAGCTTGGGGGACAGGCTGGCGCAGGCATGGATCCGAGATTTGATCTCCGTGGGCTACGACTTCCCCGAGCTCCAGCTCGGAAAGATCATGTGGCCCGGAACCAGCTTGTTGGGATTACAATCCTGATAAGTTATTCCTAGTCGCTCGACGTTGTGGAGATGTTGCAGAACTTGTTATCGGCCAAGGTTCGAAACATATGAGATGTACAAAGGCACTGTTGGGGGTCATTGTCGTCACCATCACTAGTGCTATGAATATTACTCCATTCTTTCTTACCATGAAGATCTTCAGTACTTTCACTGTTGTCGCTAGGCTTCGTCTTCTTCTTCTTCTTCTTGTTGGTGGTGTTTGGTTGGCGGTTGGGTATGGTTGGGTCTGGTTGGGTATGGTTGGGTGGTCGGGTGGTTGGGTGGTTGGGTGGTGGGGTGGTTGGTTGGTTGGTTGGTGGGTTGGCTGGTTGGTTGAATAATTATTGGCTGGTGGTTCCTGTCTTGTTCTGTAGCGGCAAGGCTTCCCTGAAGTCTTCTCGTTCGGTCGGATACATCTGAGTCATTCTGAATCTTTGCCACATGCTCAGGTGGGTACCTGCCGATGGCATGCCGTCAACGGACGAGAAGCACGAACTGTAGTCCCCGGGGAGTAGATTTAATTTAAGGGCAGTCAGGGATCAGACCCCGCGAAGGCTAACCCGAGGCCTAGGAAATCTCCTGCCACGTGTTTTGTCTGCGAATGGATGACAGGAGAGGCGATTACTAGTAGCTGCTGAAAGGTGGAGTCCTTTTGGCTCCGGGTGAAGAATCGGCGTCTGCGTTTCTTGTTCTTATCTCCTGCCAGACCATGCAGCCAATTGCTGCAGCTGCACTAGTCGGCAAACCCAGTTTCTGCAGATGGCAAAAGCCTGCAAAACCTCGTGTCTGTAAACTCTCCTGATGCAGGAAGACCTTCCTTGTCTGTTTAGGATAAGTTCACGTGAACGAATTTGAAGGTTCACAGCTGTCACATAGGAGATGGCCATTGGGCACATATATATATATATATAAAGACACACACACACATATATATATATATATATATATATATATATATATATACACATAGGTATGTATATGTATATGTACATAAAAATTTGTATATAATGCTTCCAAGATCAGTGCAGATACCCATGAGTCCTTCGTCCGTGAAAACTCGAGTTTCTAACTCACGTACTGCATAGCCTTGCGGCTGTTGAGCCGTGAAGTCGTGTTTCCAGATCTTTAACAGCCTTGAACAGTGACTGCGAACGCGGTAGATGTGAACAGCTGCCACCTTGAGCCTGTGTGCGATGCCTGGCGAAGAAGTCACGCACATCCGGCGGCGGACGATCCGCTCACTGGCGTCTCGGTCAAGCATGCGTCAGGTGCCGAAAAGTCTGAACTTAGAGGTTCCACTTCCACAAGATCGCAGGCCAAGCAACCCCTTGACTGCATCGGGTTGAAGTCTCGGATATCAGTGACAGTCTAGAGGTCCGGATTTTGTCCGTGACTTGCAGGCCGAAGCAATCGCGCGAGCTTTACTCAAACGAAACTGTAGCCAGGACTTCCGTCCGGAGTCGATCTTCCAGAGTCTGTCTTGGGTCATGGGCACCCTGTTCCTGTCTCGTTGAGGCCGCACCATATCGCCAGAGTAACCGAGACGGCTGCTCGCCTCAGGCGTGTTCATGCTCGGCCATGCCTTAGGCCTTAGGACTTGACTAGGAAGCATCATGAGGTCGCATTTCCACACCAACTAGGGGCGAGGTACATGAACATTGTCCTCGCCCGAATGGGAAACTGAATCCTGTGACTTGGGGTGTATGCAGGGAACGAGCAAAGAAGCATCAGAGGCGAGCCATCTTCTGCATTTCGGAATAATTCTTCATGAGGCTCACGGCTTGAATGTTACTTCAGTGTCGCCTGTCAGATGTTTGAAAAATCTGTAACAAAGCCCCAGGAGATGCAAAGCTAATCAGTGGACCCACTGCTATTCATTGGCATTGAACGTCCAGAACGTTAAGGGATAGAGCGGTGCTGACGGCAAACTTGGGTTGCTGCCGGAATGGACGATCCGTCGATTTGTGTTCACATGTAGTGGATGGAGCCTTGGCTTCGTGTAGTGCCTCAGACATCGAAGCGTCATCGGCAGATTTGCCCCTCTCTACAGATCCCAGCTTCGTTGAAATCCAACCCATCATGGTCTGCAGATTTGCCTCGCGCTGTTTGGCCTCTTCGCGGCGGCCGGAACAGGGGGGGCAAGGGCTGTAGCAGCTTGTGATGGCGTTTCGTTGTTCAGGCCTTTTCGCCATTGATATCTGTATCGGGTTCGGTTATGTCTTCAGGCTCGTTGTGCTCTCCTGTGGAAGCGTGGCTGCCTTTACAGTCCAAGCTGTACTTTTGGTAGCCCCGCCCCGCTCATCGTTGTCCTTTCTGCTTGGCCATGTGCTTCCTCTTTGGTGCAACGGGGGTTGGTGTAACGGTTACCGGGGAAGCCCTCATCGGTGGAGTCAGTGATGATCCCTACCTCTTCAGAACCTTTGTTCGAGCAGTTCGGGCTTGGGACGGTATGGGCCACGTTGGCACGGAGCTTCGTTACGTCGACTCGAACGAGGCCGCGGGCGATCGTCCTCCACCTTTCGAGGTTGAGCCAGGGCAGCCGACCAGGGGTGTCAACTCTGCCGGCTTGTCTTTTACCGCTGCTCTCGCGGTAGAGCGCGAGGTCAACAGCATGGACAAACTCACCGCGCCGCAGACGTTTGCAGACCTCAGTCGGCAGATGATGAGCTCCTGCCAGGACGTGGAACAAGCACTTGTTCTGCTACTGGCGGCAGGAGCAGTGACGCCCTCTTTCTCTGTACTGTTGGCGGATGCACAGCAGAACCTAGCACAAGTGGAGGTGGGCCCGTTTGGAGTCGCCGTGCTTCAGCGTTATTCGCGCGACAATCCTGGAATCGTTGTTGCGGTGAACTGCCACCAGTGTCCGGAATTGGTGGAGTTCAATTTGCCTGAGGCCCAGTTGAAGTACAAGGGCAACAATAACGGCCTGCGTTGGCTCCGCGGCTGGCAGCTGGCCTCCAAGTATCGAGGCAGTATTGATGTGGATGTCATGGCCGCGATTCTGTGCGATCACTCCAACATTGAGGAGGACTGCAGCACGAACCCTGTGATCCCCTGGTGGGGTCATAGCATCTGCAACCATGGAAGCTGCGGTGCCGAGAAGTACGACAGCTGCAGCCCTTGTTGGGGCACGGTCAGTGCGGAGATCATGCAGCCCTCCGCCAGGTTGCTACACTACGCATACGGCTGGCCATGTGGTCACCAACCCACCTTCAGGGATCAGCTCTACCAAGAGGGCTCCTGGGGCCACTTCAAAGCCTTCCGTGTGCCGGAGGCCTATCAGTGCAAGGAAGACGAAGTGGTGCAGTGCACGACCGTGGAGGGTTCTATCACTGACATGGGGCGAAGTTTCCTAATGTAAAGGAGGGACCATTGCGCTCTCAAGATGTGCTAAAGCCACACTGTACAGAAGTGCTTTTGCCAGCTGCCCGTTCAATGTACAGTTCCAGCAGAATGGATGCAGGGAGTGTAAAGTACTCTGAAGCAAGCGAGAGCAGCGCCAAACTTTGACGATCTGCTGCTGGCAGGCATCCACCCCGAACGATTTGATATGATGGTTAGTCGTAGCAGTGCAGCGTGCCAGTATAGCTTTCGGCAGGCGATTGGCACACTCTTCGGCATGTTCTTTTTCAGCATGCAGAGCCTCGGCGCTCTCAGCCGTAGAGCCCTAGGGCCACAAAACATTCAGCAGCTGGGTCAGCGGTTTGCAGAATGGGAGGGCCCAAAAGCCAGACCCGAGGTTTCGCAAATACAACGTTTGGCTTGGTGGTCAGCTCGAGTGGAGGCCAGAGGTCTAGCTGTAGTTTATCTGCTGAGCTGAGCGTTCGTCAGCTTTTCTGTTGTTAGCAATCCTTCTATTGTGCATGTGCGCTTCCTGCAGCGGGACAAGGCTTCGACTTACTGAGCTGAGATGCGAACTGCAGGTGCAGCCTCGTTGTCTGCTCGTTGCGATCCCCGGCAGGTTTCGTTTTGAATAGAACAGCATATGGGGCATTGCGGAAGGTTTGCTGCTTCAAACCCTGGTCGTTCCTGGTCTTCAGCTGAGGATATGCTAGGCCGAGTTCCCTTATGGAAAGGGCACTCGACAAGGTCTTGCAGAAACAGCCTCTTGGATGTACCTGTGGGGCTACGGCAGTTTCGGGTCGAGGTTTATTATTTCAAGCGAGACGCGTGCCCGAAGTTGTTTCCCGAGCGTTATCTATCATTGTGACCTTCTCCAAGCAGCCGAAAGTGCAGTCTCCATTTTCCTCAGGTATGCCTCGCCCGAGATGGAGCAATGGGCCATCGATTTCTGCAATGGCAAAGTAGAGCTCTTCCCGACATTGTGGAACCTGCTCCTCGGACACGTCTCAGTTCATCTCTTCAGGTGATTGTGGTATTGTCTGGGCATGACCTGCACCGTTTACCATGTGGACCCAAACACATCCTACTGCAATCGCATGTCCGCTTCTCAGTTATGTTCGGCTCAGGAAGAGCATACTAAAAGTTTCAACCCCTGCGCGCCAAGGAACTTTTGTGAGAACAAGGGCCTCAACACTGTCCAGTGCCGAGCCGGTGTCGATATCCGGCATCATGAGTTAGCCGAAAATTATGGGGGAGGGATGTCAACGATCGACACGGCTGCTCGTGCTGCTGCTATGCTGCCGGCCATGGTCTGTCAGGAGGGCCATTCTGTCGAGAGTGCTTATCTCCTTGTTGTGCTAGTCTAACAGTGGTTTAGCATCGCATGCCTGCCCACAGACGGCCGACCTTGCTTGTGTTTCGTCTTTTTCCCAACTGCTGATCGAATTCGGGTGTGTTTAGCCATCATTTTACAAGCGCATCCTTCTTATCCAGAGGTTCGCAAAAGCTGACCTTTTCAAGACAAAGCCAGGTACAAAATGTTCGGAGCCTTCTGCGAGCCCAGCACGTACTCGGGAAAGTACATCGTGGCTTTGCGGCAGGGTTGTCAACGGTTGTGCCTGGTGGTGGGTCGCCCGTTTCATTTCGCTATGTTACGCTGCTGTGCCACTTGCTTAGATGTGAATTCATCTCCTAATAGTATGCCACAATGCTTGCCCCTATGATGCAGCGGCCCAACACACACCCAGACCGAATTGCCAGCGAAGCGCTAAGCCAGTCGGTTTGCTCCTGAGGATGGGAAGATATGGGGCTGCTTGGCATCATCTTCCATCTTCTCGAGAAGGGATTCGAAGGAGAGCAGATCCTCGTGTGACGTGTTCGAAGAACTGAGCAGTAGATACTGCACTCTGCTTGAGCTGTTGCAGCGTGGGTCTTCGCTGAGCCATAGACTAGAGACCGGCGAAATCAGGTACACCTGAACGGGGCATTCCTGGTCAAATTTCGGATGGAGGGGTTGGGGTTTTGGGCTCAGCCTTGATCGAGGCCCTGTCTTTTTGCAGCTGTGCTTGTGCATGTCCCTTGAGTGTGTGACGCAAAAATCGTCCCAACAAGGGCTTCGGGCTGCACTGAAGATCCGAGGCATCATGAGCTACACTTCCCGCACGGCATTTATCATGACCCTGCTGAGCCTTCTTGCAACACTGATCACGTGGGGCGCCTGTTTGAAGTCAAGACCTGGAGTCAGCGTTTGAGTTTAAGGCTTCATGATTTGTGCTCGGATTGTTTGCGGATCTGGAGAACAGTTTGACGGTGCAAAGCAGACAGGAGTCAGGGAATGTGTCATATCGGAAGGGGAAGTTCAGGCGGAGATGTGCCATGTCGACGATGTGCAAGACTTGTTCGGGGCTCTGCAACGAAATCTCGGAAGCAAGCCTTGCCAGGGCGGCATTCCTGATGAAGGACCACCAGACATGCGCAAGAACGAAGAAGCCGCGGTGGGCAGTCTCTGAGGAGCTTTGTTTATCCTACTCAGCGAGGGCAGCAACTCAGATATTCAAGAAGCGGCAAACCTTTCCAAGTGGCGATGCGGGCGTGTAGGTGGATAGGTGGGTCATGCACAGCGAACGTCCGTCGAAAGAGGTAGACTTTGTCTGCATCAGGAGAAGACGGGCAAGTTTCGGCCATATGTGAAGATCTGTGCCGGCGTAGCACCCTTGCTGCTGGCACTGGCTGCGGTTCAATACCGGTGGTGCCCCTCGGCAGCTGAACATGACAGGTGGGGGAAGTTGGGTCTCAGGGCCTGTGTCCGAATTTCGGACAGACTGTGCTTGGACTTGGGCTTGCCTTGCCGTCTTCTTCCGCGCGCGAGTGCACGCGACTAAAGCCGAAATGTTGAGCCAGGGCAGCCGTGCAACGATATTAATCGGACCCGCAAGCACGAGCTGTGCAGGCGTGATTGTGCCAACAAACAAGATGCAGACTTGCACAAAAAGTCAAGCAAACAGTTGTGGCTCCGGCCATACTGCTTGGCTTGTAAATCTCAGCCCCTGTCACAGACCTTTCGGGCCGTGGTGGCCCTTGCCTTCGCCGTACGAGCAGTTTCGACCTGGAGCTGATGCCCCGCGCGGCAGAAGGAGATCCTTTCTGCTCTGGCGCTCCGCTTTATGAAGAGTGACCTCCCCCACGGCATCTAGCAGCTGAAATGTAAGTTTGTGCGCCGCATCGTAGAATCCTCAGCTTCGACCGTGTGCTGGGAGAGAAATATCGAAGAGGTGCTTTGTGTCATGTCGTAGCCGTTCTCTTCTGCCCATCCCGTGTACAAAGAGGAGGCTCTGATTCGCGAGTGCCGGTGGGCTCCTGCGTCGGCAACAGGAATGGGATGGTGCAGTTGTGACGAAGTTGTTAGTCCCAAATCCGGCGCACAGACGCAGGTGGGCTATTATGAACCACTGTGGTGCAGCCGGAAGATGTGGGAATAATACCTCGACATCGAGTGGGGTTTCTTAGCCCCTGAAGGCACGCATGCCAAGGACCTCGTGCCATAAAGTGCGTCAGTTGTTTTGAATCGGAGCCTTCCTTTCCATTTTCTGGGCTGGTGGCCATTCACGAAAAATCGCGCTCGCAGTCTAGCAAGTTCTTGCACCTTGTTTGAAGCAATCTCGACTTGTGTTCGGTCTTCGAAAGAATTGGAGTCGACTGCTCGAGAGAGATTTGGGCCCCAGGCCTCGCCACCTTCGAGCTCTACGGCGGGATCCCCAAGCAGACAACGCTGGTTGGACTGATGGGCTCGGAGTCTTCCGAGGAAACTTGGCTTCAAACTACGCATGTGAGTCATGTGAGGGTGGGGTTCCTTCAACTTCAATTGCATCCGATCTCCATGTTCAGAGGGGGTCGGCGATGATTTTGGGCACGGGCCGAGCTGTCAGCATCAGCTGGTAAAGCTTACGCAAAGGTGTCCGTGGCTTGGGCGGTCGTCCTCCTGTTTGCAGTGTCGCTTCTGGAGGCCGCATCTCAGATTGGGTGAGAACCACCATCATGTATCTTGTCCTTACCAAAGCCGGCTGTGTTCGCACTCTTTCGGATCCTCGTCATTACCGCCACGACCACCATTATCATCGTCACCGTTGCTTTCCAGCTCCTTCGAGTTTTGTTTCCATCAGCACCATCGCAGCTGCAAGATCGTAAGGGCCAGATCGTCCCCTGATCCAGCGCTGCTTTCCAGCACAGGGTGGCATGGCAGCAGCGCTGCTTGCCGGTCCGCTCAGGAGCCACCTGGACAGTACCGAGTCCTAAGTGAGTGAGGCAGTCCGAGGGTAGGTGTTTCCAGCATCGTCTGTGTTCTGGTGGGTACACGCGCAGCTGCCTGGCTAGGAAGCTAGAAGCACCCGAGAGGAGACCCGAGAGGCCGCTTGGGCTGGACATCTTCGACACCTGCATGGCTGCTCTGCTTCGGATTTTTCAGGTAATGTGTAGATGTTGTTGGTGTCAATGCGGAGAGCGATACCTGAGCACCCATGTATCAAGCAGAGGACGTGCAGTTGGAGCGGCGGAAGGGCAAAGAGGAAGCGTCTGCCTTGGCTGCGGTGGTGTGGCCACCTTGACAGGGTCGAAGTACATGTAAGATTGTGGCCCTGGCCACTCAGGTGGAGCTCTCGGCCATGAAGGCGAGTCCACCTTCGTCCAGCCGAGGTGCAATGTTCCGGGCCGGGGCAGAGGGATTTGTTCAGCGACGCTGCAAGCCTGGCCGCAGTGACTGCGAAGACTGCTGCTTCCGAGCATGCTGACGGTAGTGGCAATGAATTGAAGAAAAGGGCACCAGGGTGGTGGGGGAGTTGGCGGTTGTCAGTGATGATCCTGATGCTGAAACTGCAACTGACCCTGACGCTCGTGCTGCTGCTGCTGCTGCTACTGCTGATGATGATGAAGGGGGAGTTGTGACAGCGAGGACGATGATGAGGAGATATACGGGAAGGAGGTGCCTGATGATGCTGACGACGATGATAGTCATGAGGTTGGCATTGAACATGATGATGCACTGATGGTCAGAGTGGTACCGTTCTAGCCGGTAACGGCGATGACATAAACAATGACAACGGGTTTGCAGGCGACAGTCGTGCAGGGTTTGCTGTGTTTGGGCCAACTCGGCTGCAGTAGGCGGTGATGCTTTGCACAGCATATGGCAGCTCATCGAGACTGTAAGAGGTTTGGGGCTTGATGATACGTCTCCGTCACATGCGCGTGCGTGCCATAACATGTGGCCGTTATGCTGTGGGGCAAGGTATGCTCTGCAAAGTATGCATCAGCGACAGGGGGCCGAAGGTGAGCATGAGGATGTCGACTCAGGGATGGGAAAAGCGGGAGAGAGAATGAGGAGGAAGATAACAGTACAGATGGAGACAAAGACGAGGACATATGAGGATAAATGAGGATGAGGATTCTGATTATGGCGAGTATGATCATGAAGCTTATGCTGTGGGGATCACAGCGATAATCGCCAGAGGAAGATGGTCATAATGATTATATCGATGCGTCTTGTTGTCATTGGCTTTCGCTGCTGCTTCGTCATATGGCAGTCAGCGAAAGCGGGCATCAGTGCGGGTAGTCAAGCAGAGCGGGTGTACGGAGAAGCCTTGCCTAAGTGAGAAAGCAGCAATCCCCCCTTAGCCCACATCTCCAACGAAGGAGCTGCATCGTCAGCTGGTGCTGCTCGGTTTCCTTGGAACTTTCACGCACTTCACAGTTCCAGTTTCAGCTGGAAGCAATGAGGCCCCTGAGTGCCCCGAATGGAGGGTTCTGAGTTGATGATGTGCTTGAGATCCCGATCGAGCGTTCGAATCGTGGATGCGTGGCTGGGGCATCCATCGTGAAGAGATGAGGCATTCTAGATTTGGAAACCGACTACCCGCCATTCCTTTCAACATTACACTTCGGGCAACTCGCACCCACCGAGACTTCAGGCTTTGCTGCTTTGCTTGTTGTGTTGCCGTTTCGGCTGAGTGCCCGTCTGGAAAAAACTTGTCGTTCATCATCGATTCGTGCAAAGATTCGCGGCTGGCTCTCACTAGCGGCTTGCAGCTGGCGGTGCGCGTCACTTGTTGCCTTGGTTGCTGGATTCTTGGGCACTGCCGTTTGAACCTGAAGCTGAGGCTCCATGCACAAAGGCCCCGCCGCCCCGGACAGTGCCAACAACATCACAAAGTCCACGGCCATATGCCTCGCAGCATGGACCGCAGTATCCGCCACCGAATCTGGCGCAGCAGCCGCTGCAGTACCCTCCGCAGCCCCAGAGGCCGTTCATGCAGCCAATGTGGCTCTTCTGCAAGCCGGCTAGGGTCTGGCACCCACCATACATCTGAACAGCTGTAATGCTTGTGGAGGGTGCGCGGGTAAGTGCCTTGCAGACCCGGTGCGTCATGCTACTCCACATGTACTTTGCTTGTAAACATGATTTCGAGAACGTCGCAATAATCATTCCTGGCCTGTCGTTGAGGACGGGCCCACCTCTGCATTTGCCAGGCTGCTGGATTCGGGACATTTTGTGAACCGTGTTCCCCGAAAGGCCACAAGCTCCCCAAGCTGCCTGAACCTCGCGATGAGATCGGGGCATCTGCAAAAATTAGAACGTGGAAACGTGGGTTCAAAGTCTTGCTCTGAAGTGTACCGAAACCGTCAGATGGTTCGGTGCTCTTCTCAACCGGTTCCGATGTTCCGTTGCCCTTGGATGGCCTTGGAGTTTGACGCTTCGCCCGAAGGCCAAGACCAGCGCTTCTGACTCCCCCAAAGAGGGCGCTCTGCCGCCTTGCGCCAGGCGGTCCAACGCTGCGGCCCAAAGCTTCGCTGCCCGACTTGCCCCCAGGTGACTGGGCTCCTTTGTGCTCCTTTCTTGCGTGCTGATGGGGGTGAGCATGCGTCGGGCCGGGGTTGCTGGGATTTCACCGGGGTCTTAGCAGTTCCAGTCTGGCGTTGGGGCGACAATTCAGCGGGATGTTTCTCCGACAGAGCAATCTGCGAAGGTGTGTCACAGCTGCGTGGCTAGAGCCTGGAGCTTCGGGTAAGGGTGCGAAGGTATTTCCCTAAGCTGAAGCCGCCATCCTAATCTGGAGGGCTTCGGACTTGCGAGCTGGTTCTTTCGACCCTCGCTGTGCCCACGTCCCACGCCAGGCATTATCCCTTCGGCCTCCCCGCGGCAGCACCTGGGTTTGGTCTCGCTTTTCACGTGAACGTGTACGGATGTGAGTTCCAGCTACGAGCTACAGTTCGGCTGGGGTTCAAGATGGTCCAAAGCAGCTTTAGAGTCTTGGCTTGGGTTCCGCGTACGGGTGTGGCATTGAGGCCGGGCGGGATGCTTACGGTCACGCTCGTCAAGCGATACCGCATGCATACCGTTGGATGCACTCGGCTTTCTTCAGAAATCTTCGTCTTCTAGGTTTGCACGCAGGCAAGGCAGCAAGTTTCCAATCGACCGAAGCTGTCAGAAAACTCTCCTTAACACATAATCTAGCTCTCTCGTTCGAAGCTCAGACTGGCGGGTGATCGAAGGTACCATGGCTTCCAGGCGCATGTTCCCCCGCAGCCCGGCTCCATGGTGCTGTAGTGCTCACGGTTCGAGCGGCGTTAAAGCTCGAGTTCGGGTTGTTGTCGGTGAAACTCAAGCACACTCCGCAGGAGGTTGTGTTTTTTTTCGACTGTTTTCACTTAGAGCCCTAAAGCCACAAGACGCGGTGCTGTCCAAGGAACTGGGCCAACACCACCATGCACACGAGCAGCTGAGGCCACGCAGGTTCTGGCAGCGATGTTGTGCTTTTTTCGTGGATGGGCCATGGTGCCACCATATGCCACCATGCCAGGCCGAGCTTCCAAACGGAAGGTCAAGGCTCCGCGGCTCCGCGGCTCCACGGCTCCGGTGAGCATCCGGCCAAAGATGCCGGGTTTGGGATAGGAACCGAGGCTTTGGAAGGTTTCCTGCAGAGATCGCCGCACGGGCTGCGGGACATCGCTTAGAAAAGCCTTTTTTGTCGGATGATCATGCCAGCTTTGGATCGCCAGCAGGTTACTGGCGGCGGCAGGGCGGGTGTTGATGCAGACTCGGAACCCGAGTATCTTGCAACTTTTGTACTTGAATGCCGAAGCGGCCCAGGCTGATTTCTCTCAGCAGTACTGGGTGCTGCTACCGACTTCTGTGAAGCAAGCATGTCTCCACCATGGGTGTTCTCTGCCTGCTCTGGATGTGCCGTCATCATGTTGTTCCTTTGGAACTTCTTGGATCAAAGTGTTCACGCGCCCTACCCACGGGCTGTGGCTGCCTTGATGGCCACAGCTTGCACACCGCCGGCCGGGTGTGGGGCACGCCGCTTGGGCTGGGGGTCCTGCGGACTTGCAGCCTCTGTTTTGCTGCATTCCACCAGAATCCTCATCCGGGGTCCTTTGGGGCCAACGTGCAGCAGACTTTGCTGTGCATGACAGTGGGGCGATGGGCTAATGCGCCCACTGGGGGATTCCTACGGTACACGTCGCTGGGAGCGAGAGTCTCGGCTTCCACGTTCTTCTGTGCCGACTGGTGGCGTGAGGAGGGCAGGCCTGCCCTACGAAGTGAAAGCAGAGTGAAAGCAATGCAATGCACTTGTGATGTTTCCTCATGAATATAAGTTTTCTGGCAACGTTGTTGTGAAACACACGTGTGTGTGCAGTAACAACCGTTAACGACGGCCGTCGCTAGCACTCTGGCTCGACGAGTTCAAAGATTTTAGCCTGAATCTCCTTCGACGCCATGTCGAACCCTAGTGGCGCCGCCTCCTCTTCGACGCCCCAGGCGACGGTGCGCCTTGTGCGTAAGGCACCGCCGCAGGTCCCTCAGCCGACGCCATCTCCCGACGTCGGGGTCCACGTCGCCGTCCGGGAGCTTCGCAATGTGCTCCGGAAGGGACGGGAGAATGGCTTTGGGGCGTGGGCCGAGCTGGCGGCGAACCTGGGCATGGAGGATAGGACGGCCCTCGCCGAGCTCCTCGCCGTGATGTCGGTGGTTCCCCCGACGAACCCACCGACGGAGGAGGAACGCCAGATGTACATGGGGCGCCTCTTCCCGCAGAGGACGCCGACGGCGGATGGGCTGATCCAGGTGAAGGCTGCGCCGACCCCACCGCCGGGAGTTGGCACTACAACGCCGACCTCGACGGGCCCCGGGAGCTCATCGACGGCACCAGCTATGCCGAGTTCATCAACGGGCCCCAGCAGCTCACCGACGGCAACCATCTTGCAGCAGAACGTCGGGGCACCGCCCACGGCGTGGGCCAGCCAGGTACAGTGGCAGCCACCGCCACCAACGACGGCAAGAGACGCCGATCAAGTTTCGGGCATGGTGTTTCTCGACGCACCTACCTCCTCGACGACAAGGACCGCAGCGGCCTTTTTGGATCCGACGGAGGCTAGGGAGCCGGAGACGACTGCATCGCCGACCATTGTGGGTTTCCCCGGGCTCGCCGAGATGGAGGCACAGTCGGCGATGCCCTCAGGTACGGCGACACCGGCCTTCTACTTCGACGCGGCTGGCCGCCGCACCAGAGCGCCACCAGCCGGAGCACGACGGCCCGACATCGCCACTGGGGTTCAAACGCCGGCCACCACGGCGGGCGATGGAGCAGCAGATGACGTCGTGACCATGGCGGCAAGCATGCTCAGGGAGGTGGCGCCGAGGACGGACGACGACGCCGTCTCGACGGCTGGAAGCCTGAGCTCGACGACACGGGGAAGATCGCCGCAGCGTGGTGGGCGCCCGGCCATGGACCCACCGCCTCCACCGCCGGTGGCTGACACACCCCCAGCCAGGTCGTCGTTCCCGCCGTTGTCAGCTGCTTCGACGCCATGGCAGTCAACGCCGCCGAGCCCGAGGCAGTCTACACGACGGGCTCCCACACCGCCGGCGGTGGCACAAGACCGCCCGGATTGGATGTTCCCGCCGGGGGCGAGGCCGGCGGACCAGGATGATAGCTCGACGGCCGCGCCCGGCCCAGCCACCACAAGGACGACGACACCGACGGGGGCACGGTCCAGGTCCAAGACGGCGGCGGGGTTCCGCGAGCACCTGAGCGACGAGAGGATCCGCCAGATAGAGATCAACATGACCGACGACTATCGGCAGCACAAGCGGGCCATGCATCGCCGAGGCGCCCGAGCCGTCGACGACCCGCCGAAGTCGGTCAAGCACTTGCTCAGGCGGACCTTGATCGACGTGATCGCCGAGGAGAACCTGGACAGGCAGGGCATCGACGGGCACAAGCCGAAGCCCCCGCCGACCTCGGCGCCCACCTACTGTGCATACTGGTTCTGCTCGACGCTACCCGCCAACACACGCGGCGCCCGGATCCCTTGGCAAAGCCAGGAGGCCGGCCGACGTGTGCTTGGTTGGTGCTCGCACCCTTGCACGTCGCCGCATTGCCCTCACCTCGACGACCTTTACGACGTAGACACGCCGGGCCTAGGCCGCTGTCTACGTCCCGTCGTGGAGGGCAACGGCCGTGACCATATCGGTCACGAGTGCGCCGCATGCCACGGCATGGTCGGCGCACAGGACTGATCTTTTACGACGCCAGCGGGTGCCCCTGTCACCCGGCTTCGGCCATCGGGTCGGCACCGCTGAGGCAGTCGACGGCGGCGGGGGCAGGATCAGAGCCCACCGCCGCCCTGTACCACTTACTTTTTCGACGACTCCGTCGTTGCCAGAGTTGCTTAATCTCGGCGTTCACGCCGCACGGTGCCTTTTGGCGGAGCCCGACGCACCCGACAAAAAGAGCGTCGTGCACCTGTTGCCTCGTCCGTCGCGCCTGCCGTCGCTGTCGGCCTCTCTCTCTCTCTTCGTTCGTTTTCGGTCGTCGCTGTTGCCTTTTCTGCTTCCGCCGCAGCCTTCTCTGCTCTGGCTCGAGACGCCGACTTGCACTAACCCCCTGCATCCCCCGACTCAGGGCGCCGGTCATGAACCAACAAGCCGCATCGTCGGGACCCTCCGCGACTGTCGCCGACTTCTTTCGCGACGTCGCCTCGGCAGGCGGTTCGGCCTATATCGCTACCCTGGCCGGGTTCGGCGCGATCAACACGCCGGCCGTGAGGGACTCCTTCGCCGTCCTTTTGGAGAACGGCGTGCCCGAGGGCCTCTTGCTGCAGATCCTTGCGCCGGTGCCGCCGACGCAGCCAGAACCAACGGCGGCCAGGCCACCCAGGCACGACGTACCGCACAGAAGGACCCTACCCCGGGCATCATTGACGGCGGCTTTGGAGGCCATGGACCCCGGGCGACGCCAAGACACCCTCGCCACCATCGACGCCAATCTGCTGGCATCGTCGACCCGCCGGCGGCCCGCCGGGCCATGGAGTCGCGAGTGAGGACGGTGAGCGCCCTGGCCGACAGAGGCCAGTTTCCCCTCTTCCCGCTCGACGCCAACAAGCTTCACACCATCGCCGGGGCCATGCGGATCGCCGGCTACAGGTCGACTGGGCTGTACCTCGACGCGGTGGTATGGCATCAGGAGAACACCCTCCACACGCCGGTCACCCCTGGACTCCGACGGGTGGTCAAGACCCTGACCAAGGCAGCGGCGAGGGGCCTGCCAGGGTCCAGGCTCAAACAGGCATTCGACCTCGACGAGCTCACCAAGTTGGTCGACGACACGGCACCGTTCGGGCCCTTCAACGCCGGCTTGGTTGCTCACGCCGTCGATGTCGTTATCGTCGCTACTTGGTTTATGCTGAGGGAGGTGGAGCTCGCGGCGGCCCGGGTCAGAGATCTCACCGTGACCTTGTCGGCGGTGTCGCTCGACATACCCCTGCACAAAACGGCGCAGGGGGGGCAGGCCGATCTCACACGACGCACATTCAGGTGCGTTTGCACTTCGACGGCCCACCCACTTTGCCCAAGATGCGCCGCACACCGCCACCTTCGGCGGATCCAGGCATCCGCGGCTGCGACGCCGGCCGACTTCCTGTTTCCGACCAGACCGACGGTGCAGAGGCGGAGTCAGCCGAGATGTTTCGGCTGGTGCTGGACGCCGCCGGCTTCGAGACGGTGTACCTCGACGAACAGGGCAAGCGCCGCTTGATCTTCGGCGGCCACGCCGCCAGAGTGGCAGGTGCGACCTTCTTGGCGATGAGGGGGGTCCCGGTCGCCGTGATCCAGCTGCTCGGCCGATGGGCCTCCACCGCCGTCGAACGGTATGTTCAACAGGCACCCCTCGCCGTGGCAGCCGGCGTTCCAGCCCAGGCCTTGGCAGCGCCGAGTGCGTCGACAACGACGCCGGCCCAGCCCCTGGCGACACCGACGCCGCCGGCCATCATGGACTTGTTGCCGACGGGGAACGCAGCCGGGCACGCCGATACGGCGGTGCCGGCCTCGCAGCAGATGGTGCCCAACGTCGACTTCGCGGCAGAGGTGCCCGGCGTGGAGTTCGTGCCAGAACCCACCAGGATGCCAGTGGCCGACGCGATCGGCGACTCGGCGCCCCGGTATGTCATGAACTGCCGCACCAAAATGGTGCACAAGCCGGGGGTCGACGAAGCGACGACAGAGAGGTCGGACTGGCAGGCCAAGTGCGGCTGGCCTTACGGCGTGCGACAGTTCTTTCGCCTGTCCGAGCTGCCGCCGGATCCGGCCTTATGCCGCAAGTGCTTCCCGACGGAAGCCGTCGACGTTGAGGCACCGGAGGCGATCGACTCGTCGTCGAGCTCCTCGTCCTCCACTAGCGAAGCGACGTCGGACTCCGACTGAGCGACGCCGGGCTTGACCGACGGATCGCCGTCACCATTTTCCGCCGAGGGGTCGCCGGCAATAGCCGTGTGCGGCCCCGACGGCTATGGCACCAACTGGACGACGACCCAGGAAAACACACACAGCCCAGATCAGATCACCGTCGAGGGCTCGCGCCCGGAACTGACCGACGGATGTCTCACCCGTAGCCCCCCTTTTCTATCGAGCACGGAAACCGACCTAGGACGCCGTAGGTGTTGTTTGCCATGGCACTCCCGACGGTTGCGGCCTCGATGGTGCAGCTGGACGACCTCCTCGCCGCGGCCGGCGCCAACGACAGCATCAAGAACTACATCACGGCCCGGAAGATCACCACGACGCCCACATTGGCCCTGATCGCCAAGGACGTCGAGAGGTTCACGACGCACATCATCCACCCGTACATCACCGGCACCCGCATCGACGGCACCGATCACAAGGTGGAGGACGGGCAGGACGACGTGGCCACGGCGATCATGACCCACCTCTTCGTCGAGGCCACACGCCAATGGACGGCAGCTGCGTCGTCGCCGCTTCCAGCCCCGGCTGCCATTCCTGCGCCGGCGGCGGCGCCGCCAACGACGGCCACGCCGGCTATTCCTGACAGGCCTCCCAAGACCTTCTCGGCGTGGAACCAGCAGGTCAACATCTATGAGGAACGGCGCCTCGACGGGAAACGGCGGACCTTCCCAGCACATGAGCTTCTTGGCGCCGAGGAGGTGCTGGCCAGGATGTGGTTCGAGCACACCACCTCCAAGATGTATACGCCGGTTACCCTCGGCGAGATCGTGTCACGACGCACCTGGACGGCGGCTCGGACCTTGAACCCTTTGGCGCTGTCCAGGTCGACGTCCGCCGCCAGCTCCAAGGCGCTGCGGCTGGAACATGGCCTCCTGCTCCAAGGAGGAGCCGACGGAGTGGGTACCCAAGGGCCTCTTCTCGACTATCGACGGAGCCAACGCCGCCCGGTGGGCATGGATCCTGCTGGGCATCGGCGAGGAGACCGACGTCATGACATATGTCGACTGGTTCGTCGCCCGCGCCAGGGATAAGTCCAATCACGTCGCAGCCCTCCAGGCATACTGGCAGCGGACGTCGTGGAACCTGGCGATGGCACTCAGGAACAACAAGTCCTTCGGCGAGGCCACCAAGGAGATCATGGACGACGTGGCCACGTGGCAGGAGATCCTTCTTTCCACGCCGCTCCCGACCAAGAGATCCGAGAAGGAGATCGCCGACCGCACCGACGCCCCCAACGGCCAGGAGGAGGACGCCGACGACCAGCAGGCATGGAACGGAGGCGCCGGTCGCGGTGGCCGCAAAAGACGACGTCAAGGGGGCCGTGGCCGAGGGCGCGGACGCGGCGGCAAAGATCAATCCCAGGGCGGCGGCAAGAAGAACGAGCAGGACACCAACGCCGGCTGGTGGCAGCAGAAGACCGACGGAAAGAACCAACAGTGGTGGCACGGCGGCAACGGCGGACAGTCCAGCCAGTCAGAAGGCCAACGCCCGTGGCGCGGCAACGGCCAGGGCCGCGGCAACCGCCGCTAGGGACAGCACGGGGCCCCGTCGAGCGCCCCCGCTGACGACGGGGTACCCGACCAACCGACCAAGAAAGTGAAGCTCTCCGGCCGGCGACCCAAGGGCGACGAGGTGATCGTGCTGTCGGCGTTCGACGGTGTCGGCGCCGGCCCGTGGCTGGTGTGGGACCTGGTGGGCCAGCCCAGAGCGGTCTTCTCATGGGAGGTGGACCGGGCGGCGATCCAGGTGATTGACTACCACATCCCCGACGTCCGGCACCGCGGCGACATCACGGAGGACGCCGAAGGCCCTGGCCAAGGACATCGAAGCGGTCGACCCCGACGCCCAGTGCATCATCCTATTCCTCGCCGCTCCGCCGTGCCAAGATTTCTCCAGAATCGGCGACAGAGCGGGTCACGGCGGTGATAGAGGCTACCTCTTCAACTTTACGGCCGAGTACGTCGCCGAGCTGACACCGCTGATCGCACCTCGACGGCTTGGGAAATTGGTCGAAAACGTCGAGATGACGCAGGCAGACGCAGCGGCGGCCACCAAGGCACTGGAGTGCGAACCCATCCTCACCGACGCCGCCGACTTCGGGTGGGTCGGGAGGTCCCGCCTCTGGTGGTCGACGATCGACTGGGAGGAGCTGCCTCGCGACCCCTCGACGGGAGAACACTGGACATGGGCTCTACACCGTCGCTGGAACAGACTGCGGCTGGACTCTCCCAGGGCAGCTTCCGACGACTTCGACCTCGACGGCCTCAAGTTCTCGGACTCCGTCGCCAGTGGCAGGGTCAGGCTACCCTGTGCGACGACACCGGCAGCCGACGAGGGAGGCAGAGCGGCACCAAGGTCGACGAGAGGGAAGATCACGTCGGACACCCACCAGCGGTGGCTCACCGGCGGACGGCAATTTGCGCCGTGGCACTACGCCAGAGACGCCATGATGACCGACGACCAAGGTCGACTACACCTACTGCCGCCGAAGGTGAAAGAGCAGCTTCACCACATGCCGGCCGACTACACGGCGAGATCCACCGCCGGAGCACTCGACGACCGCACTCGACATCGCCTCATCGGCAACGGCTGGCACTGGGGAGTCGCACGACGTCTTCTAATGGCGCTGTTGGTCTTCACGGCAACGGCACCGACGACGGCGACCCCAGTACCAAGATCTCCTCGCCGATCGACGTTACAGTGGGTGGCGTCGTTGTGGGGACCCGGCGGTCCGATCATGGCACCAGCCCCGCCGCGGCCCGGCGTGGCAGACATCCAGGACCTCGACGAGCAGGCGCACTGGAACGCATCATGGTCGATGTCACACCCGCTGGCGGACGACGCCCCACTGGAGCCGGCGTGGGAACGACTCCTGGTCATTCGTCGAACTTGGCGCCACGACCTGGTCAGGATCCGAAGGGAAGTTGTCGACGAGGTCCGCACCATGATCGAGGACACAGCCGACGAGACCAGGGAGTGGCTCGCCGCCAGATCATCATGGGTCAGAGCTACGTACTCGACGCCGGATAAGCCGGCCCCGACGCAGGTGCTTGTCTTCATACAGCTGCTCCGCCTCGTCGGCTACCCCGACATCGACGCCCTCGAACACGACATGACGGAGGGCTTCCAGATGATCGGCGACATCCGGCCAGGACCAGGATGGAGGAAAAGAGACGACGGACGCTACCAGCACCCGACGGACATGGACACCTTCCGCCGGACCAACGCCGAGTACGTCCGCCGCAAGGTTTCCCAGCACGACGGCGGTGAATTCGCCGATCATCGCCGAGAAGAAGCTGGGCAGAGTCATCGGCCCAACGACAGCGCCGACATGGCTGCACACCAAGGCCACGGCGGTGCCCGAGCAGATCGAGGTGGACACCCTGGTCGAACCGCCGCCCGGCGAACACTTCTTGGCAGGATCCTTTCCAGTCTGCCAGACCGACGAGAAAGGCGACCTAAAGGTACGACGTGCCGAGGACTGGCGTCGCAGCGGGCATAACGCCACGGTGTCGGTGGACGACGTGCCGACGCACCACTTCATCGGCAGCTTCGTCGACCTGGCACGACGCATGGTTCAGGACACCCCCGACGTCGTGGTCTTTGGCAACGACCTGCTCAACGCTTACCGCCAGTGGCCGGTTCGACGACCGGCGGAGTGCGGCACCTTCCTCTCGACCAAGCACGGCGTGACCTTTTGGTACCACCTGGCCATGAATTTCGGCGCTACGGCGTCCGTCTGGAATTTTAACAGGGGAGCCGACGCACTTCAGCAGCTGCTCAGGGGATTGCTGCTCCTGGCGACGGGTCACTACGTGGACGACTTTAACGGCCTCGACGACGCCCTCTTCGGCGAGTCGGCGATGGTCTCGTTCCAGGACCTCTTCTCGGCGCTGGGCTTCCTCACCAAGGCGTCGAAGGCACAGCACCCGGCGAAGAACCACATTGTGCAGGGCGTGGAGTTCCAGGTCGACGCACGGGGAGTCACCCTCAAACCGACGACGATCCGGGTAGAAAAGATCATGGAACAGATCCGCCGGGCACTCGACCAGGATACACTGTCACCCGCCGAGGCTGCCAAGCTCGCCGGACGAGTGTCATTCTTGACACAAGCGGCATTCGGATCCGTCGCAAGGGCCGCGACGAAAGCGATCTACGCCCGAGCGGCCGACACAGCGGCATGGACGGCGGACTCCCTGTCCGACGGTCTCTCGGCGGCCCTACGTTCCTTGGCCAGGATCTTGCCGACGATCCGCCCCAGATTCATCCCGTTCGACGCCAAGGAGATGGAGGTCGCGATCCTGTACGCCGACGCCTTCTTCACCGACGGGGAGACCAGGCACAAGGCTGGCCACGTACCCCAGGGGGTGCGGCCGACGAAGAAGGCGGCGAATGGATGGGGATATGTGCTACGAATCGGCGACCAGGTCTTCTTCGACCACGGCGTCGCGCCGGAATGGTTTGTCAAGCTCTTCTCGACGAGGAAGGCCTACATTTACATGCTCGAAGTGCTGGCCCAGCTCGTCGCCTTCGTCACCTTCGGCGCCCGTCTGCCGCCGGCCATCGTCGCCTTCATCGACAATACCGCCGGACAGGCAGCCCTTACAAAGGGATACGGGAAAGACGCCGCGGTGAACGGCATGATTTCAGCCTTCTGGACGCTTGCGGCGCACCAGGGGTGGTTCGTCGAGTTTGAGCGAGTTCCCTCCAAGGCCAACGTCGCCGACGCAGTCTCCAGAGACGACTTCAGCAGGGCGACGGCCGAGGGATGGCACAGGGTCTCCACGCCGACCGACGAGATACTCTCCATCTTCGCCCGGTCGGCGCAGGACCTCGAATATGCCACGACGGAGGCGGCGGACCACCTCCTGGAGCTGGCCAACGGCTTCCACGTCTGAGCCGGCGCGGGGTGGAGAGTCGGTGCGCACGGCGGGTGCAGAATGCGCCCCGGCACCGACTCG